ATAAGCGAAGTCCAACAAACGCCCTGAGGAAAAGGAATGGAACCGTGTTTTTATATCCGAAGTCCTATTAGACCTGGTCCATTTCGAATTATTCACGGCTTTTTAAAAATATAAAAATTGATCAGACGAGTTTTAATAAGTAAAAGAGTGGCGAACACCCTTGAACACCCCACCGGCTAGAAAATGACGAACAAGAACTCTGATACGAATAGATTATTTTCATAATTACCTACCACAAGCAAACTGTTGTCCGCATGATGTAAAAAATAAGCATTAGCTGGTACCTAATTATAGGTAGTAGCATAGCCATACGCAACATCAATAAAACACTGTTGTGAACGACTGACATGCGATGCGCGTGGAGTTTGGCCTAAAGTAAATCCACGCATTAGGAGATAGAATTGTCGGCATCCAGAGTGCTTCACGCTGCAACCACTCTGTCAATGAAGAAAAGTTCGGGTCCATCAATGCTATCTTTAAGTGTGCTCAGTTTTAGCTGATGATTGAGCAAGACTGGTGTGGTAGCCTGAATGAACGAATCGTCGAGGAAATGGAAAGAGTCCAGACCGCTTGGCTGCATGAAGGAAGGGGGAAAACCACTGGATTTCGACCGTGTGTTTTTATAGGACAGTGATTTCAAACCATTAGGCAAATTTGTCGCTCGCCTCCTATCCTTGTCTATGGAGGTAGGTTATTGGAGGTCCGAGGTAGCCATTCCTATATAGCCTATTTCAGCTGCGGCCACACGAAAAGTTTAGATATTTATAAGAAGCTATCCTCGTCAAACCCCGTAAAGACTGGTGTTAATGAGCTTCAACACATATACGGCCGGTTTGGCCGCCTTCGTGCAGTTACAGTGACTTACCGCTTCGAAAGTGAATTTTCAGGTCGGAGACCCTGCATCTACCGACCCGTAGATGTTGCATCTACTTACATTGTGGCGGTCAAGGATGTGAGATCAACTTAAACCACGCACAATAAGTTCGTTTCGTTTAATGTCTGAAGTCAGGGAGTTGTGAGGACTAGTTTATTCTATACACAGGGCAGGTTGCCGTAAGTTTGCTGTTTGCTTGAGACAGAGATATGCGTCCGCTCACGGGGGGTGTCAGTGGCGGTGTGTTGTTTACGCGGGAGTGAGTGTCTGGGTCAGCAGGAGGGGGTGACTCTCTGAGTCTTGGTGGTGTGATTGTGCAAATTAGGGGAGGAATGGAGGGCGTATACTCACAAGGCCTCACGGGTATCAAGCCAGAGCGTTAGACGCGCGTGAGGTGATACCAGTTTATGAGGGCAGCCGGGAGTCACTGCAGCTAGACAGGAGGAGCCCCAGTTCTAGCCGGTGAGGGTGGTCGTGTGTCAGCGGCCTGTCAGTGCCTGTCGCGGCCATCGACCGACAAAACGGAGCCGGAGAAAAGGGGACCTGGAGCGGCTGCTACAACATCAAAGGGCATAAGCCTACTCTTTTACCAATCCCGAGCGGGTTAAGGTTTGTTCACAGATGGTCTTCATCTACCAAATCGTGAACAATTTTCCATATTTTTGTCCTCAGAATACAGGAAACCATATCAATCTGAGTCTCAAACGCAGGCACAGATGAAAGGAAGAACGCAGTGCCTAGAACTCGCTGCGATTAGCTGTGAAAACCGTTAGCGCCCTCCTGATTTTCTTTAGTAACGTCCAGACAGAAACCTCTGGACCCATACAAGACGGCTGCATATTTTGTCAAACGGCATTAATGAAGAACGCTATGGAAGGCTTTTTTGAAGTCTCTGCAGATGGCATGTACCATATTTCCTTCGTAGCGTGTCTTGATTCAGCTTTCAAATAAAAGGAATATATTCGCCCGAAAGAATCCATCACAGCGAACTCCGTGTCTGGCATCGGAGAGGGAATTATTATACCCGCGAAACTGCATCAAGGCTTTTCAAGTGTTTCAAGTGCTCAGCTTTGTACGTTGTCTCGGAGAATTCATAAATTCAGCAGTTTACAGCAGAGCATAAGATCCCCACTACGTGTGCACTGTCTTAACTTACTGTAGAGGACTCCGAGATTAACGACAGCAGTTTTCAACCAATCATTTTCGAAGACGTCGATATTTGATGATGAGATATTTGACCCGGTTTATCTGAAAATTGTAAGTGCTGATTGGTTCAGGTGTTCTATCGGTGAGGGATTTACTCTACAATCTTTTCCTCTTGTTGACCTCCTTTTTTAAGAATGGAGTGCTCCAAGGTGTTCATCGTGGTGATGGTGGACCAGCCCGATGAATTGACTCGAAACTTCATCGATATTGCCAGAGAGCGTGGCGCACAGCCAGTTTGACGAATGTTATTCCTCATCTGCCTAAGTTTGCCAAACCAGTTATTTGATCGAAGAAGATGCGGTTGGGCATGCAAGAGAGAATGGGGTGTATTGCCGCATGTGAATTACATGGTCGCTCCGACTTGATAGTGGTAAGCGATTCGCTGCATCGATGTAGTCAGACAGTTTAGGGAACTCAGGGCTCAGGCCATTCGTTCATTGGTCCTTGCACACTAATCTGAAAAATGGATGTTAGGTAGCGGTATGTAGCACCTCTGATCAACTACTGACTGAGAGCGATCAGTGAAGGGTTGAATTTCAGTCAGTGTTAGGTGCATTTAATTCCCCAATAA